AAAAATTTAATTTTTAGAAGGTCCCAATCATCTGGTTTCTCTTCTGCTGTTTGTACATTTTGAGTTATGCTTGATAGTCTATTTATGGCATATATTAGGGCCCTTAAATTCACCCCTAGTTTTTCCTTGAGGAACTATAGTTTTGGGTTTCACATTTAAGTGTTTGATCCATCTGGAGTTCGTTTTTGTATATGGTGTGAGGTACAAATCTTGTTACATTTTTCTGCAAATGGATTTCCAGTTTTGCCTGCACCATTTATTAAACAAACATTCTCTTCCCCATTTAATGGATTTTGGTCTTTTGTCAAAAATCAGCTGCCATAGGTTGATGGATCTATTTCTGGGTTCTCAATTCTATTCCATTGGTCTATGTATCTGCCATTAAACCAATACCAGGCAGTTTTGGCTACTGTGGCAGTATGGTAGGTTTTGAGATCTGGCAGTGTGAGACCTCCTACTTTGTTCTTCTTAATGCCTTAGAAAATAGATAGTAAAGGTAAGAAAATTTTGTTTTAGTATAGTGTATGTATTTTGTATAAAGTTTGATAGCCACTGCCATAGATGAAGAGACTTCTGATCCTCAAAGAGCTTTAGTGTACTGATTAAATAGTAAATTAAGATGCAAAATTAATCAACTAAAATTTTGAGCACTTTAATTATAGCAGATTTCAGTCAAATAGAAGAAATTAAAAGTGACCTGATTCCTTCTTACTCTTAATGATTATGTGGCTGTGATAATGAAGATGATTTTATTCAAATAATATTCAACATTTGATGGTGAAATAGCTTATCAGGTATTGATTAATCTGAAAGTAGTAGCTCTAAAAGTTGAATTGCAAATATTAACTATGATATACATCTAGTGAACAGTATAATGGAATGATCTTTTAAAAACTTTTTATTAACAGGCTGAAAATGAACTAAGTCTGGCAAGAAAAATGCTACAGTGGAAACCATGGGAGCCTTTAGTGGAAGAACCACCTGCCAATCAGTGGAAATGGCCAATATAATCATCCTTAAATAACCTTAGTGTGTTGATGGGAAAATGATGTGATTAAATATTCTATTATAATAAAATGTTGTCATATTATTGAGCTCTTACAAATCTAGAAAATTGATAATACAGCGTATTTAGAGGACTTACTAAAATTAGTGATTACTTCATAATTATTATAATAGAGACTTATGAATCAATTTTTAGACTGTAAAGCATTTAGTCAAATTATTTCAAAGGTGATAATCTTTGAACAGAGAAATTGTGGGAAGATTTGAATGCTACTTGGAAAAATTTCTACAAATCTTCAATGCAGAGGCCATAACTAGGGGGGAGATACCTTTAGCAGTATCTTCAGTGTATCATTTTTTTTTTATTATTCTGCAAAATAGAGAAAGGATATTTAATTACTGTTATTGTCTCAACAATTTTTAGGTCACTGCTGGAAGGGAGTTGGTAAAAGTGAAGATACCTAAATGTGATGAAACAGTGAAAATAGCTGGTGATAAAATTTCAAATTACGGTTAACCTCCTTGGCTTTGATTTTATATATATAAAGTAAAATTTAAATATATAATTACTGATTACCAAATCCTATAGATGTCATTTTCCTTTAGTTGATATTTGAATTATTTATTCTGTTTATTTGGTTTTCATATTGCCTTCATTTTACCATCAATTAGAATTTATTATACAGTAGGAGAAATTGATTTGGTACATGAAAAAAAAGATTTCTTATTGTACATAGGTAGCTGGAAGAGCTTTCATTTTGTCTCATTAAGGATAGCTTTCTGGCCCTTAGTTTAATTTTTTTGATTCACCTAAATACATCTAGGTAGAGGTAGAATTTTTTAAAATAAGAGGATTAAAAATCCTAGAGTATATTTGGCATATGTGTAGGCTTCAGTTCATAACATTTAAACACAGGTTATAACTTCCAAGTAAATAAGGAGTTTTTACCTGGGTATCAAACAGACAAATACTGTTCAAGAAAACTGTTGGCAAGCTTACGGTTGAACAAAATTAAAATTACTTTTCATGTATCCTCACTCTCCCTTCCTAGCCCTCCATTTCTATGTACCTGGTTAAATTTAACATGGTATTTCTTTCCTTTATAGATAGTGCTTTTATTTCTTTGTGTGTGTGCATGCATGCACATGTGTATGTGTGTTTTGCTCACCTGTGCTGTATTTTAGAATGAGGAAAAGGAGACCTGTTTTTCCTTGTTTCCAGTATATCTCTCCCCTCCTAGAGTTGTAAAGTGAATGATTGAGTTACTTCTTAGGCAGTTGTGGGAATGCAAGGAAGCTCCTGCAGGGAAGTGGGGAAAACATTAGAGGGAGAGTCAGAAGTGCAGGGTTCTCTTCCCTGTGGTTCTGCCTCATCACTAACTCAAGTGACTAACTTGAGGTAACTGTGTTTCCATTCCTGTGAATGAAGTAGAATTTAGGATGGACAACTACCTTTTGAGTTCTAAATGTTAACTTTATAAAACATTGTATTTGTTAAGGTCAAAACATGTGATCCTAAAGTAGTTGGATCCTAAAGTAAAGTTGGGAGCTCTGATGGTGTAGTGCCTAAGGCATCTGACTGCTAACCAGAAGGCTGGCAGTTCAAATCCACTAGCCACTCCTTGGAAGGACGATTGCATAGTCTACTTCCGTAGTGATATTGCCTCAGAAACCCAAGGAGGGGTCACTATGAGTTGGATTCAACTCAATGGCAATGAGTTTGTTTTTATGGTTGTAGAAAGTATGTTTGGAGTCCCTGAGTGGTGCGTTTAAATGGTTAATGCACTCAGTGGCTGACTGAAAGCTTGGAGGTTCAAGTCCACCCAGAAGCTCAGATGAAAGGCCTGGTGATCTACTTTTGAAAAATCAGCCATTGAAAGACTCCACGGAGCACAATTCTGTGGTAACACAGAGGGTCGCCATAAATCAGAGTAAAGCATGGTTGTGTGGATATTCTTAAGCTGATTTTCTTCCCACCCACCTCTTTCTAGGTCCTCTGAGCACACAGAAAAATAGCTTGACTGCCATCTTTCCTTAAATTGGTATTTTCATTAAAGTAGTTAATGTTTATTGTGAATTTAATATTGATGCTAGATACTGTTGTAAGCATTTGACTCGTTTCACTCATTTGATCTACACTATAACCCTAAGAAGGAGCTCTGGTGGTTAGTGCCTAAGGTATATTTGACATCTAACCAGAAAGCTGGCGGTTCAAACCCACCAGCCACTGCTCAGAAGGAAGACTAGACAATCTGCTTCCATAATGATGCAACAAAAAATGCAGTGCACTGCCATGGAGTCGGATCTGACTCATAGCAACTCCTTGCTTGGGTTTCCAAGGTGGTATCACTACAGAAGTAGATTGCCCAACCTTCCTTCTGAGGAGTGGCTGGTGGGTTTGAACCACCAGCCTTCTGGCTAGCAGTCAGATGCCTTGGCAATACACCACCAGAGCTCCTTCCATAGTGATACTGCTTCGGAAACCCAAGGAGGGGTCACTATGAGTTGAAGCAACCCTAAGAATGAGATCCTGCAATTATCTGTATTTTCCAGATAAGGAAGCCGGCAGTGCTCCCCTGGAATTGTGCAACAGAGGGTCCTGGAGGAACTGAGGCAGAGGTTTAATAATCTATCCAGAGCCACTGAGTTACTAAGATTGTGGCTAGCTTTTCAAAGCTTGACAGTTTCACCCAGAACTCAACGCTTTTTATTATTACGTTATTCTTCACGAAGATGCTTGGGGATGCAGTCACTCCTACCTGTACTGTATGGGCTGCACCAGGAGAATCTAGATTCTGCTTTTTTGACTTTTTCTGTCAAGGGACCTGCCCAGAACAAATATAAACAGAAGTAGTAAGCTGGATTTTAGGTTGTGCAAAGATTTTCCTGTCACTCGTAGGAAGACAATGCCAGTGGGGTCAGTATTTAAGGCCCCCTTCCCTTTACATTTGCTACCCACCGCTCCAGCTGCCCACTCAGCTTTCCACCTGATTTTTACGCCTTCAGATCTCTTCCAATTGCTATAAATTTTGAGATTAAACATCCTATGTATCACTTTATGGATGATTCTTTCAGAGACCTTGAGTGTTGTTGAGCAGCTTCTTTGCTAACTTGAGTAATTTACAGAACGACCTATGTCCGTTTTCTGTAGGCAGCCCTTATGTTTCACTCAAGGTAAACATTATACTCCAGATACTTCAAAAGGAGACGCTAATTAATTTGGGCATTGCAAATATGGAAATTGCAGCAAAGTTGATGGCTCCTTTCTTCCACCCCTGGACTCAGTGTAGAATAATCCAACTTGTGGGCACTTTTTTCTTTGGAATGAAGAGGGCTCCGATCTAGGATAATTGTATAAAAAGTCATCAACTTGGAATGATTTTGGAAGTTGAGGTATTTTACTAGGATAATGGGTATAAACAATGGTCATGAGCAAACAGGATATATGGCACCTTACAGCAGATTTGATATTAATAATTCCTTCTGGACCAAGACTCAGCTCGGAGGGTTGCCAGCCTTTCCACTTAAGGAGAAGCTGGAGAAGTAGTCTGCCTTGAGGCCTTTGGTTCAGAATTGTGTGATGGAAGAAAGGAACTTGTCTGTTGGCTTGTATCCTTTTCTAGTCCTAAGGTAGTCACAAGAAAACTAACTGAACCAATAACTATGTAGCTTTCAAAGGATGAAAATCAATGTTCTGTATAGGAAATGCCCACATACCAGCCAACATCAGATTTTCCATTTTCCTCCCAGCCCCCAGGGTTATATAACCAAACAGAAGTTAAAGAAACCCCCTATGCAAGTGTGTTCCAGAGTCTATGGTAAAATAGCAAATCACTGAACATACCATAATACTTTGAACGTCCCAAGTGTGGTCTTTCCATTAAACTCAATACTCAGTGAAGTTGTAGCCTGTGAATTCACAAAACTGTAACATTTTGACAAAAAAAGAAGTTTGGTTTAGGGGAGACAAAAATGATTGAACAATTTCACAGGGAATCAGTGGGAATGTGACAAGGAATTTGAGTTCTTGATGGGAACTGGAGAAATTTTAAAGTATTTAGAGGTAATAAGCCTGGAGTCAAGGAACATAGGGAGAAAAGTAGTAGATTACCATGTTGTTGTGTGCCGTGGAGTCGGACCTGACTCATAGCGACCCCTCCTTGGGTTTCCGAGGCAGTATCACTACGAAAGTAGATTGCCCAACCTTCCTCCTGAGGAATGGCTGGTGGGTTTGAACCGCCAGCCTCCTGGTTAGCAGTCAAGTGCCTTAGGCACTAATACTCAAACCAATCTCACTGCCATTGAGTTGGATCTGACTTACAACGACCCCTCATTGGGTTTCCGAGGCAGTACCACTATGGAAGTAGACTGCCCAGCCTTCCTCCTGAGGAGTGGCTGGTGGGTTTGGACTGCCAGCCTTCTGGTTAGCAGTCAAATGCCTTAGGCACTACACCACCAGAGAAGGATCAGTAGTTGGAAAATACGGCATTAGTGATAGAAACGATGCTGGAGACAGCATGATAGAATTTTTCAAGACTAATGACGTGTTCATTGGAAATACCTTTTTTCAACAACACAAACGACCACTATACACATGGACCTCGCCAGATGTAATACACAGGAATCAAACTGACTACATCTCTGGTAAGAAATGATGGAGAAGCTCAGTATCATCAATCAGAAGAAGGCCAGGGGCTGACTGTAGAACAGACTCAATTATCATAGACAAGTTAAGTTGAAGCTGAAGAAAATTAGAACAAGTCCATGAAAGCCAAAGTAGAACCTTTAGTATATCCCCTCTGAATTCAGAAAACATCTCAAGAATAGACTTAATGCATTGGACATTAATGACTGAAGACCAGACGAGTTGTGGGAAGACATCAAGGACATCATACATGAAGAAAACAAAAGGTCATTGAAAAGATCGGAAAGAAAGAAAAGACTGAAATGGGTATCAGAAGAAACTTGCTGTAGCTAAATCAAAAGGAAGAAATAATGATAAAAG